AGGCCTCTCTCTCGCAGTGCCTGTCCTCTGAAATTACATTCCTACCACCACCAGGTTTTGTATGGCTCCCACCCTGACCCTCTTCAAATGAACCCTTAAAACCTGCCTCTTCCCCAAACCTTGGGGTAGGGTGGATGGGAGGCCCCTTGTGAGAAGTTTGTGTTCTTTTTCTGGATGTTGCTTTTGTATGATTTTGGATTACTTGGTTATAATTGTTTCATGTCCTGCCAGAGTCATGATGGAGTCAGAAGGCCTATCGATTGAACAAATAAAGCAATGGTCATGCATTCTAACAACAAACTTTGTTAGAGACTATGCTTAGCTGCTGCTGCCATTGGAGGTCCACAGCTTGCTAAGAAACACTGTTGCCCATGGACAGCAAGAGCTCAGATCCATGGCTCAGCAGCTTTTGCAGTAGGATTCAGATTGAATGCCACAATTGTTGAAGGAGCCATTGGACAAAAGTTAAGTTCTTCCGAAGATTGAGGATTGCCAGTCCAAGCTAGCCTGAATCTCCATCTTGGGTAGATCTGCTTAATCACGAGATCTGATTCAGGACTCAAGGTAAACATTGAAGAGACAAGAGGCTGGTAGAATCTCCCCCTGCTTAGTTCCTCACTGAGTTTAAACACATTTTGTAAATTGGGCCAATTTGGTGAGGAATCTGCTAGCATCTCAGGGTTGATGGCTTTGGAGCAACCAGTACTGAATTTTGCTTTAGGTGAGAAAGTACCTGTGCTGCCTATATGCCTTTCTCCGAAAATAACTATTAAAAATCCGATTAGCAACCACTCAGTATTTGCATTTTGCTTGGTGTTTGCTTCATTTCAGGAACTTTCCTGAACACACCCATTTTCTGCCCTTTCTCTAACTGGCCCCTTTTAGCAATCTCAGACACAGGACAGGAAGCCCTTTCTTTCTTTGCTACCTAATAAACTGAAGAGTAAGAATTGGAAAAACCCAGTCACAGCATGAGATGAGTCCGTTCTCTCCAGTAATAAGGACATCCTTCACATGTGTCCGTACTTAATCACAGTGATGCCTAAAGGTCCACTCTCTCATACTTAATTCACGAGGTCACACACGTGCGTAAGAAGCAGAGTCTACATTTCAACTTAGCCACACACATTTTGTCACTTGCTCCCACTTGTCCCCCATCCTGATCAGAACTACTCCAAAGCATGGGAACATATGGAGGTAAGTTCAAGATGAAGGATCATGTCTCTAGTCCTAGACTAGATTCAGGACTAGCTTTGGAGAAGGTCCCTGCAGGACTAAGAAACTAGTAATGCCCTCTCGGTCCTGGCTCTTTCGAAAGAGTTTCAGCAGAAAAAGTTGGGCCAGACTTACTGTATCAGCCTCCCTCCTTGATTCATAGTAAGAGTTGCATCAGTAGTTCTCCAGCTGGTCCCAGCACATGGGCTCTCC